CCGGGGGTTTCGATCCGGTTTTCGGTCCCGGCTGGCTTGGGCCTACAAGGAGCATTGGTAAATGATCTCTGCTAGCCTGCCCCTTCCATTCCCAAATGATCTCTGCTAGCCTGCCCCTTCCATTCCCAAATGATCTCTGCAGCCTGCCCCTTCCATTCCCAAATGATCTCTGCTAGCCTGCCCCTTCCATTCCCAAATGATCTCTGCTAGCCTGCCCCTTCCATTCCCAAATGATCTCTGCTAGCCTGCCCCTTCCATTCCCAAATGATCTCTGCTAGCCTGCCCCTTCCATTCCCAAATGATCTCTGCTAGCCAGCCTGAGACTTACCGTATCAATAAGCGTATCCAAATTCACGCAACCATCTTCATTTTGGCTTGATCTGACGGGTTGGAGGGATTTTGTCCGCTCCCACTTTTTCACGCCTTCCCAGATGGCCTAAAAAATTTGGGTTTTGAGGAGAGAGAGCCAGAGAGAGAGAGAAAGAGAGAGAGGGAAAGAGAGAGAGAGAGAGAGAGAAATCGATAAAACCAACCACTTCAAAGCGATCCACACTGGTAAAAATTAGCGGAGCGTTCATCCGAATTATGCACGGCTCGCCGCTGACCATTTCTAGTTCCTAAAACGAGTTTTTAGGGAAATAGTTTTTTAGCTACAGATTTTGCCTGCCACGTCCCTTTAAAATAGAAAAATGTTTTCTTTTTTGAGAAATGTAAAAAAGCGTTTTTAAACTCACTTTTCGCTTCGTTTCCCTAAACGCCCCATCGGCGCTGGCGATCAAGTAATGCCAGCGAGGTCTGAAAAAATGAGTAATTTGTGGTAGGTTAGCAGAGGTCATTTGGGAATTGAAGGGACTGGCTGAAAGAATTTAACTGAAAAAAAATCACTTACTTTTGGCTCCTTATTACAGTAGTAAGCACCGCGAACCCGACAGACAACAAAATTCCCTCGGCAATGTCCCAGCAGATCGTGAATAGCATGGAGACGATCCAGATAGCCTAAAAAGCTGGTTAATGGTCTATTCGATACTCACAAAATCGTATTTGAAAACGGGCCACAGCTCCTTCAGCTCGTCGAACTTGGCGAAGATGAGTTTTTGGGAGAGGATGATCATTGTGGCAAGGATGCATTGTGGCAAGTATTCCAGGGCCGTTCCAATGTAGAGGATCACCGACAAGAGAGCCACCGACGAGAAGAAGCAGGTTAACTGTAATTGCCAAATGAACTCTGCTAGCCTACCCTTCGATTTCCTGATGTTCTCTGCTAGCTTTCCCACCTGCGTACTGCTCCCCACCGCCGCTCCGATCACGGATCTTGCAAATCCCGATGTGAAAGGGAAGACCGGAAATAGGGATGAGAGAAGTGAGGTAAAGCCGAGGGCGTACAGCTCCTAAAACCGTATTGTAGTTGCGCTCCGCTTTTTCTCTATCTGTTTCTCTCAATCTCTCTCTCTCTCTCTCTCTCTCTCTCTCTCTCTCTCTCTCTGTCTTTCTCTGTCTCTCTGTCCCGGAACTCACCTGTGCATAGTCAATCTTGTATTTGTAACGCTTCTCGACGACCTTGGCTACGGTAAGGTGAATGGCGGTGGCAGCCAAAGCGATTCCGAATGAATGATGTAAAATAGAAGGGACAAGGTCGAGACGTGGCGGTGATGGTGGAGGGAAACTAAAATGAACTGTAAGGACGAGAGAGAGCGAAAAATAGAGAGGAGAGAGTGGAGAGAAATAGAGTCACTAGTGAGGGAGCGAGAGAGAGAGAGAGAAACATACTGCGTCGGAATATTGCCCACGACTTGTACTTGGTATCTCCTCGCCAGCTCGGCAAAATTTGTAGCCGTAATTCCGACGATTACCTAAATTACGGAAATTGTAGCGAAGTGGAAAAGGGGTATTTTGCTGTATTAACAATGTATAATTTCTGAGCCAGGGCGTCGATTGAAAAACGTACCAAAATCAACTCGTAGGGCACCGGAAACATGAAAACTTCGGCCAGCCACGGGGTCAGCTTTTCCTTTCCGATGAGTAGGAACAAGGCGGAGAGGACTAAATTATTTTTTTAATTTTTTACTTTTTTTACTAATTTTTTTTCTTACATTTATTTTTTTAATCATATTCTGAAAGTGCTGAAAAGTGCTAGAATCTACCCCTGTTGGACAAGGTCTATCCTACTACGCGCTAGGCGAAAACTCACGTACGTAATTGCATTTTCGAAGGAATTTTTTGTGATCAGAAAATTGTATTTGCAAGCGCTTTTAGTGCATCGCATAGCTGTCTAGAACTAGCCGGCAGAAGAGGTCTATTCTGGGCGCTTGCCAATCCCTTTAAAAAGCCATAAGTTAGAAAATTTACCTGAAATGCAGGTCGTAGGCATATGGAGGGTCGGGAAAAGCTCGATGAGGTCGAGGAGGCGCTGAAATCGATTTTAACGGGATTAGGAAGACCTGAATCGACCCTTTCTATCACCGAGATCTAGAGAGCTACGCCACACGCCAAACTACGCGTAGATCATCGTTTTATAGCCTCGACGGCCTCTACGAATGTAAATTTTGCGCCGATCTCCAAGATATTCCTCGCTTTTGGTGTCGCTTGGCTGTCTAGACTTAGTTAAAAAAGGGGTAGGTTCTAGCTTTCGTGTTGCTTGGTTGTCTAGACCTAGTCGACTTGAGAGGTCGATTTTCGCGCTAGTGCCTTTAAAATCAAAAAGGTAGCAGGAAGACATACATAGTAAAGGTATCCTGGACCATTACGCTTCGGCAGCTTAATTCCAAGTGCATCGCCAAGTTGTGAGAATACGACGTGGACACAGCCACCGACGATGAAGCCGGACATTACCTGAAAGTATGGCTTTTGGATGGAAATGAAAAAGAAAAAGGTCGTTACTAACGTGTAACCAGTAAGCGTAAATACATACTTGCTCGGAAAAGTAGCATCTGAAGAAGTAGTGGAGTCCGAGGACGCCCATTAAAATCTGAAAAAAAGGTGTATCCTGCGAGAGAGACAGAGAGAGCGAGAGAGAGACAGAGAAACAGATAATCTACCTGGCTGAGTCCCGCCAAGAATAACACGGTAGTAGCGACTACGATCGGCTGCGTAGGCCGGAATCCATTCGTCCACTCGACTTTTGTGACTTCTTCGATAAAAGAGGAACCGTTTAAGGTTAGATTCAGTAGCGCTGGATCACTGAAAATTACGGAGTACGGAAAGGTACAAAAAACGTACTCGTAAAAAGTAGCGTTCAGGAATTCCGTTTCATTTCCGGTGAATTCCAGGCCGGCTTCTGTCATGTTTTCTGAAAATTTGAAGAAATTAGAGAGCGAGAGAGAGGGAGGGAGAGAGAAAGCGAGAGAGAAAGAGAGAAAGAGAGAGAGAGAGAGAGAGAGAGAGCACCGTACCGAAACTCGGAAATACCGTCCGATTCCTGTATTCTGTAGTGTTGTACGGTACCGCGGTGGATTGGACGACTTTTTCAATGGCCGAGTGCGTCATCAGGGAAAGTACAGCAAAGCCACCTACAGAACATTTGATTAAACCCAATTTTTACTGCGAAAACTAGCAAAAAAAATCAAGCTTCGACTCACCGAGGGCATTATGCTTTGACGTCCCAAAGAAGATGTATAGAAAAGAAGGAAAAATGGCTGTATACAATCCGTAGACCGGCTCAACGCCAGTGATTCCGGCCAAAGCGATACCTAAATATTGGGGCAATAAGTAATTTAAAATCTCAGTGAAATGTTAGCAAATCAGAAAATCTAAAAAAAAATTGCAAAAAAATTGCAAAAGCAACGCGTTTTTTTGGTATCATCTCCTTGTTAAACGGAGCGCCAGGTGTGAGATTCAACCCCGTCTAGCTACTGGGTCTAGACAGCTACGCAAGACGCTAACTGACGCTTTTCGAGCTCTCGACGAGGCCAAAAATTAGTTT